GGCTTTGACGCGTCAATAGGTGAAATTCTAATTACCTGTTCAGTTAATAATAGTAGCATTTTCAAGTAAACTTGGATAAATATTACTGTAAAAACTTTTACTAATCTTGATATGATCTTTGTAGGTATAGCCAAGCTTTAGGTGGTGTTTTTTTCTTCTGAAGATGAAGATAAAGATGAAAACGATTGGTATTAACGTATGATTGATTGAGTTTTAATTATTATAAACTTAAAAAATAAATTAATATGATATTTTAGAGCAACTTTTATATAGAAAGTTTTCGTACGAAACGTACCATTTAGAAGTTTGAAAAGCATGCCATGAAAATCTTAATCTTCATCCAACTCTTATTGAAGAAAAGAACGGGACCTTAGTAGTGACAACTTTGTAAGGTTCCATATTACTTGAGTAATGCTAAAGTCACACAATATGTCCAATACAATTTTACGCGAGTAAACACTTTTACAAAATGTTGCATCTGAAACTCATCAACCTGAACACTTGGCATGTATTTTTTGTGACAGGCAGTTGCAACGCAGATTTACAGGGCATGTTATGATCATCTTTGCCCTGGTTTTGTGCAAGTTAGTTCCGTTGGCCTTGGAGGAGGGATACTACTAGTTTCTGTTTACTATGGACCATAGTATACATTAGATCTTCTCTTTCACAACGTATGGCTTGTGAACTGAACATGTTGAATAGTTAATTATGCCTATTGCATACTCATTTAGTTACTAACAGCCAATTATTTCTGTCATTTAATATGAAACAGTAATTTGTACTACAGACCATTTTTCACATGCAACATTGAAAGATTCAATAATAATACATTTCATTTAACTAGGTTTAAAGGGTAAAATCTAGTGCCCAAACTCTCTTTCTGAATAAATATTTATGCTATATTATCCAGAAATGCCTTGACTATATATTGTATTATTGAGTGTTTCATCCAACTTTTCTATTGCTATGTTATCTGTCGAGGAGTGATCCTCTCTAGCGGGAGATCGTGAGATCCCCCTTTTGTGAGTTCGGCCGGGGGAAAGGGCTCGCCTCTAGAAATCTCGTATCCGCCCTGAAGGCTGCTAGGCAACGTGTGCACAACAAGATTATACAGGTTCGGGCCGCTATGAAGCGTAATACCCTACCCCTGTGTGTGGGATTTAGGTTGAGAGTTACAAGGGTTCCTAAACTCCGGAGAGCGTTCTTGATTCTCTTCTCCTAGAGCTCAGGTTTTCTGAGAGTCGTCCTTTTCCTCGGTAGGCAAGGTCCTCCTTTTATAGCTCAAGGGGATACCACATGCACCGCCTCTATCTACTCTTCTACAGGGTGGGGACCCACCCTACCTTGACCAGAACACGATCCGTGCCTTCGCCTGGAAACCAAGCCGCAGCTCGCCCTTGAGCGGGACCCAGCGCCATCCCCCGCCTGACACGGGAGGCAGCCCTGTCATTCCCTCATTAATGGGTGAAGACTTGTGGTGGCCGCCCTCTCGTGGAGAGAGCTCCGAATGACCCTCCGATGGGACGGGTCATACCTACCTCCACTCCGCCGAAGACAGATGCGACATGGGGGCACAGCCGTCCGTCCAGTCAGACATGACCGGCGACAGGCCGGTCACAGACCGGTCATTTCCTAACTGACGCGCGCCAGTCGGGCACGCCGCACGTCTGCCTCTACCGCATTGAACGCGGCAAGGGGCAATTGGGGCGCTGCGCGCATTAAAGGTGGTTCAGCCTGGGCCCCCTCCCCGCTTGCTCCTCCCACCAGATGACAGCTAGGCGAGGGCCTCGGAGCAAAGCGGCACGAGGGCCCGAGGGGCATGGCGTGGCACCCCGAGGCCCCCCGGCCGCTCTTGCTATTCGTGGGGTGCGAGGGTAGGGCCAGGCTGTAGGGTCACGCGACAGGATGGGAAGGTAAATTCCCCTCACTTCGCATACCCCTGGGCCCATGTCTCCGACATTATCCAACATTTTATTTGTGTGTAGGACCCAACAACTAATAATCGGTGGATAGGAGCTGGACTGAAAAGATATCACAGCCATGCAAGACAAAGCAACAGGTTCATTTTCAGGTGGACTTGTTTTTTTTATAAACTAAACCGGCGAGAGAAACTGCCAATTATATTTTCAATAAGTAGGAGTGAAAACCTAGACGGGTTACTAGAAAAGAAAAAATAACCACCAGCTGGCTGAACAGCTACACAGCACACGCCACAACTCACTAACAACTGAAACACTGACGGAGCCCAACGTAGGGTGTCGTTACCAAGCTTGACCGAAAACAACATAGGGGGTTTGGACTTTGCAAACGTGTCATCGTTGCCAGGCTTGCTGCCAAGCGACACAGCAGCTCCGACTTCAAACCGGATGCATCATCCAAACCTAGCTTGTTGCCAAAATGATCAAGTGGCTTCGACTTCCCACGATGAACTTCAGCCAAAGCCACCTAAGCGCCATATCCTATTCACGGCCAACAACAACACCCCTAGAAATGTAGCATGTCATTGTTGCCTAGCTTCGTCACCCGGACGAAGCAGCTCCGACTCCACCTAGTAAAATCAAACAAAGAGCGAAGGTCGCCCACTGCAAAACAAAAGGTGGAACCAGAAAGTGAAGGCCTCATCAAACCTAGGACTGAAAAGCTTTGAAACCAATGCATAGACCATCAACAATATCCTTACACGAAGAAGTTTCTCCAAAGCAGTGCCCCCAAGGAGGACACGACGTGGATCGCCGCCACCGCTCGTCTGGAAGCCGGAGTAAGGTTTTCACCCGGAGAACGGTAAGGAAAGGATCGGGGTCAACACCATAACGACGCCTCCAAGAAGGGGAACAATGCCTATAGGCGTCGCCGTCGTCAGCCGGCCAATGGCCTGGTGAGGCTTTTGCCAGTGATTCCCCATCCAAACCCATACAACCAATCCACACAAGAAGGATCGTCGCTGGTCTGCTACATCGTCCCTTCAACGATCAGGCCTAGGCCACCGCCCATAGTTCTGACTCACAAAGCCGCACTGAATGCCGCCAAGCCACCGCATCCCCTCTACAAGGCACCGCCTCCACCCTCCACGTGGATCTCCCCGCGACCAGATCTAGGGCTAGCCATAGGAGGTGGGAGTTCTATGAAGAAGAGGATGCCTAGCCACCAGTGAAGCACGAGCCGACGCCAGCGCCTAGAGAACTCCCCTACAAGCCACTAACTGTGAGGGATGTCGCTGCTACGTCTGAGGCCACGACCACCTCCTCATGTCGCGACGGTGCCTCCGGCGCCACCTCAGGCCCCCCTGCTCCTATGGCCGCCGGTCGCCAGCTCTACCAACCAGTTCTGGCGACGCCCGCCACAGCCCCCGCGGCCCCACTGCCAACTCTCTTGCGCCCCCGCCGCTTGCCACCTCATCCTCCCCTTCCTCCACCTTCGCCAGCTCTAGATCTGTCCTCGCCATCGCCGCTGCTCCACACCGCCGCCTATCTTCCCCCTTCCCCACCTCCACCTCTAGCTGCCGCCGTCATGCAAGGGTGGCTAGACCAGAAGGGGATGCCAAGTCCGGCACCGTCGCCACCCCCGCGCCCAATCGCCTCCGCGCCCAGCCGTTCCGCACCTAGCTGCCTCCGTGCGCCCAGCCCAACGCCCTGAGCCCCTAACACAGAGGGAGGAGGAAGGCCCCGCTGCTGCCATCCTTGCAGCCGCGCGGTTTCCGGCGTTCCGCTCGGGCGGCGGCGAGGCGTAGGAGGAAGGCGGTAGTGGTCGCCGCCCGTGTCGCCCCTACCCTTGGAGCGACACGGGGGCCTCGTCTAACCTTCTGAATCTTTTAGGTTCAGGTGGACTTGTTGATGGCCCAACATATAAAACCAACCCTTCGCCCATGGGCAGTACCCATTTTGCAAATGGGTGCTATGGGAAAGCAGCCCGTATCAGCAACCTTCACTTCATAGATGCAGCAGGCCATAGCTTCATATCCCAGACAACAAGGCCATTGCTGGTACGACCAAAGAAAAATGCTACACGGTTGATAGCTTTGGTCAGGATAGTACTGACATGCACGTCTTTGGTGGACCTGGTGGTTGTAACAAATAGCTTAATTACTAGCTTGTTCCATTGTAGGGACATAGTAAAAAAATCAAGAAAATTCGTGACATCAAATAAAATTGAGAATTCTTTCTTTAATTTGCCACTCAAAGTTACCATGTTTCCTTATTTTCCCTTATTCGCCATCAACATCAACACACCATGAAAACTATCATCTTAGAGGTTAAATTTAGATAGAAATGACAATTTTTTCCCCTCAGCCAAATATGTGCATAGTTTTCACATCCCATTTATGTTTGCCTAATTTAAAATTTCACATTCGCTTTTATTGTCCAAAGATATTAGCACGAGTGTTTTTATTTTCGACTAATTATTTTTCAGAGGTAGGTGACATACCCACCAACAATGAGACGCCTGTAGTTATCCCGTAAATCCCAAGACATGTCGATTTAGTCTTTGAAGGTGCTCATAGGGGTTGGGTGTAAGTTTATAGGGTGAGTGTGTGCATAATTATTTAAGCGCATGTTTCTGTATTGTGTTTAAAAAAGTGTTTAATTTGAGGAAATAATTAAATATTTCTTTTATTTTTTCATATGTTTGTTAATTGGAGTTTATGTGATTTTATTTGCCTTCTAGAGGTGGAGGCTTTTCCCTAAATGCTGTAAATTCTAGAAAAAAAATTCAAAATTACAAATTCTTGAATTTTATTTCAGAAAATCTGTTTTCCTCTCCATTCCTTTCTGCCCCTTTTCCTCCCACTTCCATCTTATCCAAGCCGACACGTACCTCCTATATTTCTCTCACTTCCCTCCCATTCCAAAGCCACTCGATCATCACCCTTATCTCACATTGCAATTTTGTAATAACTAATACTCACCTATATGATATGTTATCTATCTTGGTTCGGTGCAGATATCATTGTTTCATTTTTTTTATGTTATTATTTTGGATAATGCTTCAATGCAAATTTACAATTTTGAACGTAAGGTGGCAGCAGATTCATCGTTGCAAACAACATTTCTAATACAACCAGCAATCGCGTCAAATATTAATTATATTAGTTGGACTCAGATCTACCAAAATACCGATGGGCATTGAACTCGAACATTGATTTATTTGATACAACATGCTAGTACACTACAGATGTATCACTTTGTGCAATTACCAGGTCCACCATATAATAGACGGGCTCCATCATCGTTGAACCTGATATCTCCAGCATCATAGCAGAATGGTCTAGTACTGCCTGAAAATGTGTTGTGTGTGCCTGGAATGAAGTACTGGCTGTCTTTGTTGATGACTTTGATACTCCTCACATAGGCAGCTTTCCCAGGTCCAGTGGCTGCCCAATGTCCACTGCCCAGTTCTGGAAGGTGTAATTGAACTGTTGGTCCATGGACTTGCCCACCCCAAAAACAAGCACTTGCTTTTTCATTCATGTAGGTGAAAATTGAAGGAGGCCAATATCCAAGTGGTTTTTTATCACGCCCATATGCTAGCCACCAATTTCCGGTCTTCGGGTCCTACAATGTGTGGTGATCGGCGACATGATTAAATAAAGTCTTGCATAAATAAATTGATATATATTTCATCCTTCAAAATTCTTTCCGTCATTCCCATTTCCCAATTTGGCAGTAATTTCAACTTGATAGAATGTGTGGTTAGTTTCACTAAGTAAATATATACGTTACAAACTACTTAGAATAAAAAAAATCTCAAAAGAAATCTACCTTATTGATCTGTACTGATTTGAAAAAAGAAAATACAAACTTCAATGACATTCACACACTTTCAGGTGTAGTCGTGTTCATAAACTCAAAATGCCACTTCAACTAACAGAGGTATCCTAAAATTTTCTCTTGTAGTGTCCTTACAAGTGATGACTACTTGCCTAATCATTATGGACAAAAGAACACAACTAAATGTTTATGGCTTATAGTTATGATATAATCATGTGTCCAAGTATTCTAGGAGAGCATAAGATGAACAATGTTAGCCTATGAAATGACAAGCTGAAAACACAAAACAATTGTGAAAACAACACCTATTTTGCATTGAAAATGTTAACCTAACACAATATAATAAAATAATAAATAGCATTTATCCAATTAAAATCAGAGAGCATGCGAAAAGAACAAATAGTACTGCCTTAAATAAGAAACTAACAAATAGTCTTGTCCCCATACTACATTAGCATGTTAATTGAAGCTTAACATTCAAAATATCTTATTTGTACTTTATCAATTAGATGTTTCATGAACTGCAAAGCCACACTAATAATTATATGCATTGGAACTATTTCTATTTAATTAAGGACACATTGGAATACATAGAATGGCTTGATGACACAAATCCTAGATGATTCATTATATATATATGTGATACCATATACAGTTTGACTCGTAAGATGGATCAACGTGCTCTTAGGAAGCATAAACCCATTAAGTTACAAAGATATCGAATGGACATTCTAATATCCAATAAATGCAACCTCCTCTCTTTAATTATCAGTTGAATTTTATATTGTTTTCTGGTGAGAATTATATTGTTTGATATAACATTTAGCCATGTTGATAATCTAGTTTAGAGAAATTATGTTTAGTCCCATGGTACATCATGTAAAGTTGATGCATTTAACCATCTAAAGTAATGCTTGAACACAAGGATTTCACAAATCAAAGATATAGGATTCCAGAACAAGTAAAGACGATTTTCAATAAAAGTGAATTCATTCGAGAGTTGTTAAGCAAAACATACCTTTGATATTTTCAGTAAAAAAAAACATACCTTTGATATAGTAACAGTAATTTCATACTGATCTCCATTATAGGTAGAAACTGGTTCAATTCTCCCACCAATACCAACACTCGTACTGACTTGTACAAAGCCAGGACACATATGATCAAAGCATGGCATGTTCACCGTATTAACTTGCTGCCATAAACAAAAAGTAAATAGAATTCTTAAGCAGTGCAATACTGTTCGACTCAAAACAACAACAACATATATACAGTTCAAATGCATGACTGTTTACAGAAATTCTTACCCAGTATATATGAAATCTGGCAAAGTTGTCACCATGGTAGTTTGGCCATACCTAAAAGCATTATATATTGAAATATCGATTAGTGTACGGCAAAAAGGGCTTTCTATTAAAAAAAAAGGAAAGTTTAATGCAATGAAGACTTTACTATAGACTCTGTTATGGCATTTATGCATTAGGAGGTGGAGCAGCATAGATGGTCCTACGGAGGGCTTGCGGCGGGCTTGCGGCCCACTAACGTCCTAGGAAGCCCAAACAGACATTTTTTTTAAGGAATAAGTCCACATTCCCTCCCTCAACTCATGGCCGTGTATGAATATATAGCATCCTTCAACCGCAAAACCGGGTATAACTCATCCCCCAACTCTGAAAACCATTGCAAATCAACTCCCTGGGCGGTTTTGGAGGTGGTTTTGTCCTACGTGGCATCTTTGACCCTGTTGACTTGCTGAGTCAGCAGGTGGGACCCACCTGTCAGTGACTAGGATAAAAGAAAAACGGTGGGCCCACTGTCAACCACACTTCATCTTCTACCCTTCTCTCGCTCCTCCGGCCGATCCCGACGGCTAGGAGCTCGCCGCCATCATGGTGCCTAGCCACCGCGACGATGCTGCTGGGGGAGGCTTGCCGGGGACAGCTGTGGATGGGTAGAAGCGCGGCGAGACCGAGGCCGGCATGGCGGTCGTTCCGAGACCCCATGGCAAGCAGCGAGAGTGCGCTGAGCGCCACGAGGAGGAGCAGCGCCGCCCGTACCACCGTAATGTACGACAACTTCTCCCCGCCGCTCTTTCCCCTCCTCCTCCTGCAGCTATGTCTGCACATCAGTGCACATGGATTGCCGGCGGCGGCCCGCGGCATAGCGTGATTCGTGCGGCCGGCCTCGGGGGAGACTTGGCTAGGGCAGCACGTGAGACGGCAGTGGCAAGACCAATTACATCTACAAACGGCTCCAGGAAGCAAGCAGTCGGATATAAAACAATGCAAGATCAATGGTTATCCATCAAAAAAGGTGCAGATAGCCAGGTACCCCAACAATAGTATCAATCAGAAAATTGCCGGGTGGCATACCATGCTGACCAAATTTACTAAGCTATCGATCAGCAATTTGGTCGACTGTATCGTGATTTTTCAAGCGTGTATGATACTATGATGCTTATGATCAGCACTAAATCACTCTGCCCAAGCACGCAAAACACCGTCACCAGAGAATCCCCGATCCCCAAGCCTAGGGGGGAGGCCGTCGTGCACATGGACGTGGCGGCGAAGACGGGCTGGTCCACCTGCAGTGAGAAGCCGCTCCACGTCCAAGGGTTGCCGGCCAGCTCCCTCATCTCGTTCGCCCTCCTCCGCTCCGGATCTGAGGAGGGGGATGGCGGGGTGGGGCGGCACGTCACCGCCGGGATCGGCCGGAGGAGCGACAGAAGGGCGTAGAGAAGAAGAAAAGTGTGGTTGACAGTGGGCCCCACCTTTTCCTTTTATCCTTGTCACTGACAGGTGCGCCCCACCTGCTGACTCAGCAAGTCAACAGGGTCAAAGGTGCCACGTAGGACAAAACCACCTCCAAAACCGTCCGGGGAGTTGATTTGCAACGGTTTTCGGAGTTGGGGGATGGGTTATACCCGGTTTTGCCGTTGAGGGATGCTATTAATACACAGCCATGAGTTGAGGGAGGGAAAATGGACTTATTCCTTTTTTTAACCCTTAAGTACTGCTCCCTCCGTCCCTAAATATTTGACGCCATTGACTTTTTTAAACATGTCTATCTGTTCATCTTATTTAAAAACTTTTGTAAATATTATTCAAAAACTTGAGTAGTAGTAGTATATTTAACAATGAATCAAATTATAGGAAAAAAATTAATAATTACTTAAATTTTTTGAATAAGACGAACGATGAAACATGTTTAAAAAAGTCAACAGCGTCAAATATTTAGAGATGGAGGGAGTACTCCACTAAAGTTTTTTTACCCTTAACACTAATTTAGTGTTTAAAACGTCATATATTAACGACAGGAAGGTGTACTCCACTAACGTTTGTGGTAGTCCAATTAAAATCAGACAATTGCACAGATGAAAAATTGAGGCAGTTTTTTTCTAAGGTGTTTTTTCAATATTTACTAGTGTATTAAGTTGCACTTTCACGCAACTATAACCACCCTCTCTGTTAATATGTCTATTGGTTATTCGTATTAATAATAAGCTTAAATTTGTAATGATAATAAATCATAATAACACGTTTCGATGGGTACATAGGTGATAACCATATTAGTACATCACAGATATATACTATACATACTCAAGGCTAATTATATATACTTTGAATGATGTGAAGATTAGTCTGAACCAATGAATCTTTATTAAAGGATGGGTTTTATTTGAAAATAATCTTTATTTAACGTGCAAGTTATAAAATTATATGCACTACCTATATCTTCCTCCTTTTTTTTTTCTTTGGCTGTTAGATCTTTGTAAATATAAGTCAATGATTTATTAGTAATTTTTTTAAAGAAACCTGCACATTTAATAGACCGAAAAGACCGATACCGAGAAATTCGGTCATCAATTCGGTCCAAGGTAGTGAAAGACTGAATTTTGTTCGGTCAATTCGGTTAGTACCCTCGGGTAACCGAATAGACCGAATTATCAAAAAATATCTAAATGCAACCTACAATCCACTATGTTTAATAGGATTAAACTCTAATTTTCACATCCCTACTTCTTCTAGGCATGCAACCTAATAAGAGTCTTTACTCATAAGTGCTTACGAATTTTTTTTTTGTGATTTTTGTGTTAAAATTTTCCATTATTTCTTTGCATATATGAAAATGTTGTTGAATTTCGGTCAGAACCGAGATCGAGACCGAAAAGACCGAGACCGACTTTTGTCGGTCCTGACATTTTTGTGTTCTTCACTTTTCAAAGACCGAAAAGACCGAAAGACTGAGACCGAAATTTTCGGTTAGACCGAATGCCCACCCCTACATTGTAAAACTATATCCAGAATCTTACTAGCCTTTTCTTCTTGGCTTTGGAGATTTCGAGACAAAGTTAAATTAATAAAAAATGATTACTACGTCCTCTATCCAACGGCTCATATTTCTTCTATCTATATTTTGTTACCATGAATCCAAAGGTCATTAATCTGCTGATTACTTGGTGCATCCTAAGGTAGTGTTTGGTTGCTGGGATGGAATGGGATAGGATGGGATGAACCCATTTTTAGGGGTGTTTGGTTCAGGGGTGAGTGGGATGGGTTGGTCCCTACAGAGGAATATTCCTCTCAGATCCGGGACCAATCAGTCTGGCCAAAACTGGCGGACGAACTCGTCCCACTTGGGACGAGCGACGGCGTGAAACCGCCGCTTTGCTCGCACGCTCTTCCTCGGGAGACGGCGGCGGGCTCGGCGACGGCGGCGGTGGGCTCGGCAACGGCGGCGGTGGGGGGCTCGGCGATGGCGGCGGTAGATGGCTCGGTGGGCTCGACGACTGCGGCGGCGGCGGGCTCGACGACTGCGGCGGCAGGGGGCCCGGTGGCGGCGGATCCAGTGGTGGGGAGGGCGGCGGCGGCGGCGGATCCGGTGGTGTGGAGGGCGGCGGCGGCGGATCCGGCGATGGGGAAGGTTGTGGAGACGGATCCGGAGGCGGGGAACTCGGCGGCGGGCCGACCGTGCGTCGTCGCGCTTCTCCGCCCGCCTGACCGCGATGGTGGTCGTGCTCGCCCTCCTCTCCACCGGCCTCTCCTCTCCCTCTCCCGCGCGGACCTCGCCGCCGTCGTCGTCGCCGAGCCGCGGCTGCTCTGCGCGAAGGCCGACACCATCGCCGCGTAGCGCTCGGTTGGGTCATCCCGTCCATCGTCGTCGCCGAGCCCACCGCCGCCGACGTCGCCCGAGCCCGCCGCCGCCGCTGTCGCCCGAGCCGTCTACCGCCGCCGTCGCCGAGCCCCCCGCAGCCGCTCATCGACGCCATCAAGGAGGTCGGCGGCGACCACGTCCGGAGGTGAGGGCAGAGGCGGCGTCGGCCATGGTTGTTGCAAACGGCGTTGTCGGTGGTTGCAAACGGCGCTCATCCCATCCCTCCCTCGTTCCTTGAACCAAACAAAAAACTGGGATCGTCCTATTCTACAAACCAAACACCCGAATGGAATCATCCCAATCCTCAAATCAGGGATGGTTTCATCCCATCCCACCTAGTCCCAGAACCAAACACACGCTAATTGAGTTTTGGGATTCACTTTTCACCTGTAAAGACCAAAGTTTTTCATACTTGTTGTCTATGTCTGTTCCACATGTAAGGGGTTGCGCTAGAAAAGCCTAGAATAATCTGTCTTGCTGCTTTTTACCGATCAGATCCAACGATTTTCCTTCGTCCTATTTCTCTATGGGATGGTTCAGTGTTTTTTATTACTTGGATCAATTAGGTGTTGTCTTGGGTTTTATTGTCCCTGACTCTGAAATGCTAGAGCAAACTGGATCCTAATACAATATTCATGGTATAATAACTGCAAGCTTAGTGTAACTTACAATAGAACCAGCACCGATTCCCTCATAATTTCCAGTAGGTCCGTTTACCATTAATGCCCATGATGCACTAAGATCATTTTGTCCTCGCACTTTTGGCTCATAGACATTGATTGCAACTTGTGTTCCATATATTTCATCATATGTTGTACACCCAGCTCTCTACATAGAAGATAGAGTCATGTTTATTATTAGTAATAAAAACAAAAATTTTGGATAGAAGAAAAACTTCACACACAACACAAGTAACACTAAGGTGAGATTTCTTGATTCCTAATTGTTTTAGGGATAAATTTATTACTTGCTACTAAAATTGTACTCATTCACTTAGTTTGCCACTTATACTGTCCTAATGACAGTACGTGGGGGTTTCAAGACACGCATGTCAGTAAGAAAGTCTGTGTGTAGAAATTTGAGAGGAAACTAAGAAATTGCCATAAAAGACATTCTTTTTTTAGCGTATCTGGAACGTTGATCTGGAAATTCTTTCAAAATCGTTCTTACTTGTGGAGCTCTAGTTGATAGAGTTAGAACAAGGGAAGAAAAAGATGCAGAAGGAGGGCAAGGTTTGTGCAAATATTAGGAAAAAAATATATGCTGGAAACTACATATGTAGTGGTAAACCTGGAAACTACCATTAGATTGAAAAATGGACGTCTGAGATTCGTCCACGTCACCACGGATACAAATTTTACTAGTAGGTTTATATTTTTACTCATGGTGACGTGTACGAAATCTCAGACGTACATTTTTCGATCCGATGGTAATTCTAGGTTTCTACTACATATTTTCCAAATATTAGTGTTAACATTTATCTGCATTATTACGGTGAACTTTTATCATTGTTTTATTCAATACAAATAGTCGTAGAAAAATGCCAAATTTCAATATCATATTATTTAAATATTTTATGGGCATATATTTTCTAGGTTAGTGCAAATCAAAAGAACATTTGTAACGTTACAATAAAAGAACTACTTGACTCTGGAAAGTATTCTTTTGATTAGTTTGAGGAGTAAATTAGAACATACCTCCCCTCCACGATGATGGGTATTACCGATTGGATCAAAACTAAATTGTGTCTTCAGATCAGCTTTACTATTTTGTAACAATGGTATTGTTCCCTTTGGGCATGCAATGGTAGGCAGATGAGCTTCTGTCGCTATAGTGTCTGATGATGATTTGATTTTCAGCTCTGATGGATAAGAGGTGGGCTCCATCTGGTTGAAAAGTTTACAAATAAAAAAATGTTGGGCAAATGAAACAAGTCATAAAACACTATCACATTACTATTTACTCCCTCCGTCCCCCTAATATAAGAGATTTTGATATTTTCCTTGCACTGTTTGACCACTCGTCTTATTCAAAAAATTTGTGTAAATATAAAAAATGAACAGTTGTGCTTAAATTACTTTAGATAATAAAATAAGTCACGAATAAAATAAATAACAATTCTAAAATTTTTTGAATAAGATGAATGGTCAAACAGTGCAAGTAAAATGTCAAAATCCCTTATATTATAGGACAGAGGGAGCAATATTTACTAAACTACAAACATATGCAGTCATATCCCCTTTCCTTCCATTGATAATAAAGAACAACCTAGATGCTCAATTAATTTTGCCAAATCAAGCAGTTGATTTGCGCCAAAGAAAGAAAACAAGTCCAACCACACCTTTTTTGTGTAATTGACTAATTGAGAAACATGAGTTGGATTAAGGACTTATTTGTACTATTTGATTATGGGGTTAGGATGAGAAGAATAAAGCTTGATAATATGAAAACGGAGAAAGAGAGTGTGAAATAGCAACATACCTGTATTATGTGCCCTTTCAACAATGGATGAGATAGTGCTGGTTGTAGATTGATATCGATGCAATGAAACACGTCGCCGTCTCCAGTCTATTAATTGTGAAATTTATATTGCTTGTCAACTAGACAAAGGAATTATATATGTAAATCTAGAAGAATCGAAATTATATGGAGATATGAAATGAAAAAGGTGTGTAGATAGTACCTCAATGATCTTGTTGATAATCTTGTCGGAAATAGGTTGATCATAACTTGCTTCATGCTTTACATATCTACCTTCTTGTATTCCTGCCGCAAGGAGGACAAGATATGATATGAAAATTATCACTGGAAGTTCTAGTGGTTTGGTCATTGAGAAAACTGAATTGTTCACTATTCTAGGATACAGACCTACCGTTTTATAGGACATGGAGGGTGGCTACCGCTCTTACAGTAACCCCCGTTTTAATGAATTTGGTGGAAATGAACTGTCATGTCTTTGACTCAAAAGATATAGTGAAGATGGAAAAAACAAAAGACATGATGTATATAATCTGCGAATGATGTACGAGTATTAGTAGAGAAATCAAATATGACCGCTCAAGAAGAATGAATTTAATGCCTCCAGAGAATCTCATTTATTGCAGTTGCCAACTAAGAAAGATATAGAGCAATAAACTTAATAAATGCATGAAACTAGTCTATATTTATTAGAAAATATATAATCTACAGAATTATTGGCACAAAAAATATTGCAACGATATATAAATTGTTGCAATTAGTTAGTCAGTGATTGAGTCCACGACTCCTCCTCGTTGTAACCGTCCATGCTTCCCCATTCTTCTCTCTCGCTCTGTCCCTCTCTCTCGCCACGCGCAACCGTTGTCGGTCGTCGAGACGCCGCCACTGTGTGCCTCTTGGCTCCCAGGGCGCCGCCTTCCTGTTCTTCTCCTCTTCAACTCCTCATGTACTATTCCTCCTCTCCCACCCTCATCTCTCCCAATGTGGCGGTGTTCCTTCGGCTAGATCTAACCATCCCTGATCTCGGGTATCAGATCCGGGGCGAGGCCACCATGTAGATGGGGAGAGAGGCATGAATATGGCTTCAGCTCGGGAGCTTCTTGCAGCCACCATCTCCATCGTCATGTCCCTTACCGGTCCGATAGAGGAGGTGAAGAAGCAGATGCTGGTGCTGACAAAGGTGAAGCTGATGTGCTTGACTAGTTGGGAAAGAATATTGCAAACCATATTCTTTTGATGTTGCACATAATGTTTACTTGGTGTTTCAATCAGTCTCTTTTGGATGTTGTACAAATTGGTACAATAATTTCTTGATGTTGCAATATTCTGGTTTTGTGTGTTGCAATAAGTATCGTTGAATGTTGCATGTGATTGAAACATCTTTCGATAGAGCAATGAAACACTCTTGATCAAGTCATGGCACGCTGAAACAATTCTCGTTGAAACATTTTTTCATCGAATTATGAAATATATGAAACATTTTTTTTGGATGTGATGGAACCCTATCCGATGTTTCTTCTTCCATCGGACGTCCGATTTGTAGCGCTCTCCCAATAAAATATGCATTGTTATCATATTTTAGAATTTTACTTGCAAAAGCTAAAAGTTACCATGATGAAAAATATTACACGGTTTCAATTTTCATTGTAATAAATATGCTCTCATACCTCACTATATTGATGTGGTAAAATTATTTGAATTTTCTTTGAATTATAAATAAGCTATTGCGACAATTAGATAACTATTGAAATATGCTTGGAGTAGCCTAAATAAAACTCTGTTGCCTGGATTCTTACGTTACAGAACTAATCTCAGCAAAGTACAGCCACAAACCAGCCCATCTCTAGTTCTCCACCTTCCTAGCAAATCCAGCCAGCCAGCCCACTATACCCAAGTCCTTCTAGATGGAAATAAGTTCACCGGAGGTCCCTCAACTTAACAACGAGATTTTTTAAGGTCCCTTAACTACAAAATCAGAAATGTGTACCCCTAATCTCACACAAACCATGCACTTAAGGTCCTATGGCAGTATATATGGGTGGGTTTGCTGACGTGGCATCCTAGTCAGCAAAAAAATATTTAAAAAAGTACGTGGGGCCTGTATGTCAGCTGCACATTTTTTTTTTCTTCTCCTTGTCTTCTCTTCTCTCTCTTCTCTCTTCTCTTCCTCTTCAGTGAGGGAGGCCGGCGGAGTGGCGATGGGCAGGCAGCAGGCCCGTGCAGCAGCGGAGTGGCGATGGGCGGTGGCAGGCAGAGCGGCGCCGGGCTGTGGGCGGAGCGGAGGCGGGCGAAGCTCATCTTGGGGCAGCTCGCGGGATCATGGGGCGGGGCGCATCCAAAGCGCACATTCAGATCACTATTTGTGGAATGATATTTTGCACAAATCTGGTTTGCGATGGAATGAACTGAGAAACGAGCATCATCTCCCCTGTGTCGTCCTCTGTGCCACCGTGAGAGCACACGACACACCTACAAGAGTTCAGACATTCATGGAAGCAGCTGCAAGGGACCCATCATATCTGCTGGAAGAAGACAACTAACATATTTCGGCTGGGCAGAATAACATTCGTATCAAATCCAATTCTTGGGTGCAAACTCTAACATATTTTGGCTTGGTTTGATCGCAAGTATAGGTTTTGGACAACTGACAGATTTTTTTTTATCATAGACCAGAGACTGACAGATGTGCTCTCTATGAGGGAGAACAATACAGGAGGCTGCCCTCCACCTGCTGCTGGCCCAAATATCCAACAGCGAGAGAACAAAATCTACATTAATTTTATTACGGCAAGGAGAAATTCACTTTGAGTACATCGATTTGGTGGACTCATGTAGAGTTAAAAGTACTCTACTAATTTGGTTGGGAGTAACGTTAATCTGGTTAATTTCGATTAAGAGCAACCAAAATACTGTATTTTCTATCTATAAAAAAACTCCAAAAATACAATTTTTTTTATTTGAGAAATGCATTACAAACGTAGATACTCACAATACACATACACCCATATAAACGCACACATACACCCAACCTTTATTAGCGCCTCGAAAAGACCGAACTTGCATATTTTGAGAGTGACAAAGTCATCACTGGTACCTCGTTATCGATAAGTACGTTGTCTAGAATTGAAAAAAATAATTAGCTGTAAATATGAGTACTAAAAAATATATTGTACTCCTCTATGTTCTATCTATTATATGCAATACAAATATTTTCAGTTCTGTTATCCTAAATTCGATTGCCCCAATGTGCAAAACTCTCCATAGGATACACACATCACTCTAATCCTCCATTACCTATGACAAACACATTCATTCCGTGTGAACCACGTTTGATTTAGCCAATCACATTCACCAAGGCAAATTTGGAGCACTCAAATTCCAATTTTGTATTCATATTCCCATTCAACAAACCCCCACAGCATAATTTAAAATGTAGGCGTCTGTGTGCTGCAGGAAACGTACGTCCAATCCACAATAATTTATACACGCGTATATACTTCACGGCTACGCAGACTGCCGTTTACACAGAAACACAACATCGTACACGCACCGTATGTGCTTACATAAGTTCGTACCACTGACTATATATACCAATGCATCCTAATTCCAATTCACCAAACCAAAGTAGAGTTCACAGAAGCAGCAGCAGAGCAGCAACCAACAGCAGCAGGATCAAGGTCACACAAAGCCTGATCGATCATGGCCATGGCCAAGGCTCTGCTCTTCGCCATCCTCGGATGCCTCTGCCTCTGCAGCGCTGTTCTAGCAGCTCGTGAGCTGAGCGATGACGCGGCCATGGCGGCGAGGCACGAGAGGTGGATGGCGCAGTACGGGCGCATGTACAAGGACGATGCCGAGAAGGCACGCCGGTTCGAGGTGTTCAAGGCCAATGTCGCCTTCATCGAGTCGTTCAATGCTGGTAATCACAAGTTCTGGCTCGGCGTCAACCAGTTCGCCGACCTCACCAATGACGAGTTCAGGTCGACGAAGACCAACAAGGGATTCATTCCTAGCACGACTAGGGTTCCTACTGGATTCAGGAATGAGAATGTTAACATTGATGCGCTGCCGGCGACCATGGACTGGAGAACCAAGGGCGTGGTCACTCCCATCAAGGATCAAGGCCAATGTGGTAAGAAAATTCAGGCTACTCAGATGACATTCTTCAGTATCTTTTATGATAGAGTTTTGTGATAACATCTATTGTGTCCAATGCATTGAACATGAATGATTATTGCAGGTTGTTGTTGGGCGTTTTCGGCCGTGGCAGCCATGGAAGGTATTGTCAAGCTAAGCACGGGCAAACTTATCTCTCACTCTCTGAACAAGAGCTTGTTGACTGTGATGTCCATGGTGAGGACCAGGGCTGCGAGGGTGGGCTCATGGATGATGCCTTCAAATTCATCATCAAGAATGGTGGCCTCACCACCGAGTCCAACTACCCATACGCAGCAGTAGACGACAAGTTCAAGAGTGTATCCAACAGCGTCGCATCGATCAAGGGCTATGAGGATGTGCCAGCCAACAATGAGGCTGCCCTTATGAAGGCGGTGGCTAACCAACCTGTGTCTGTGGCCGTCGATGGAGGCGACATGACATTCCAGTTCTACAAAGGTGGTGTGATGACCGGCTCATGTGGCACTGACTTGGACCATGGTATTGTGGCCATTGGCTATGGCAAGGCTAGTGATGGTACCAAGTATTGGTTGCTGAAGAACTCCTGGGGCATGACTTGGGGTGAGAATGGTTTCTTGAGGATGGAAAAGGACATTTCTGACAAAAGGGGCATGTGTGGCCTCGCCATGGAGCCTTCCTACCCTACTGCATAGGGAAAGCTCAAGTGTGATGTGGATGATGTATAGGGATTGATGAATAATGTGTTGCTGTGGTTCATACTTTGTTTGTTCAAAATATATAATTTATAATGCACTTATCTACGAGATGCATGGATAACATGGGTTGGATCTGATAAAATAGGTCAAGTATATATTGTCCATGAGCAAATGAGCCTTTGCTACAATTAATTAAGATGGCTGGTAAGGTTATAAGTAGAACAAATAACATGTACTGTCATAATTTATAATTCAAATTGTTGAAATCACTAGCAATCACATACACTACTACTTTCTCTGTTTCATATTATAAATCTAGACATATATATATATACATATTTATTAACATCTATATGAATGTGGGCAATATTAGAATGTCTTATAATATGAAACGGAGGGAGTATAGAAAAGGAAATTTGTGCTGGTTGGGAGATGACCATAGGTGCCAGATTTTCCAACGCCACCCAGCAAAGCAACACCTTTGAGGTCCCAGGAATGAAAAAAAACTGGCTTGATGCCTTGACCAACTCTCCGTCATCACTGAGATCACCATCA